AGCGAGAGAGAGAGAGAGAGAGAGAGAGAGAGAGAGAGAGAGAGAGAAAGAGAGAGAGAGACAGAGAGAGAGAGACGTAGTCACACAGTGATTTTGCTGACAGATTTTAAAATAGGAAAAAAACAAGCAAATAACAAGGAGGTACTTCCAAAAAAATACTTAAACATGGCAATAAGCTATAAGGCAAAAACTCTAGAGGTCTAGAAAATTCAGTAGTGATGGGTCAATGAGGCGTCATGTATCATTTCAACACATCCTACCACTGTCACCAAACACTTACACCTGCTGGACCTAATACGTCCCTACATGCAACTTATTTGACAGAGTCAACCAACCTAGTTTAGACAATAACATAACTATTGTCTGTGTATTATTTCATTTAAAACAAAAATTGCTAAATATATATATATATTAAAAAATGAAATCCAAGTGAGGCGGCCCGGTCGAGTGGTTAGCGCGTCGACCTCACAGTGCAGAGGTCATGGGTTCGGCTCCGGCCTTCCTGTGTCAACTTTGCATGTTCTCCCCATGCTTGCATGGGTTTTCTCTGGGTACTCCGGTTTCCTCCCATTATAAAAACATGCATGGCAGGCTGGTTGGACACTCTAAATTGTCCCCAGGTGTGAGTGTGAGCGCGGATGGTTGTTTGTCTGTGTGTGCCCTGGGATTTGCTGGCAACCAGTTCAGGGTGTCCCCTGCCTACTGCCCGAAGACGGCTGGGATAGGCTCCAGCATGACCCGCCATCCTTGTGGGGATAAGCGGGTCAGAAAATGAATGGATGGATGGATGAAATCCAAGTACAGTCAAACCTCGGTTTTCGTCCATAATCCGTTCCAGAAGGCTGTTCGAAAACTGAAATTGTTCGAAAACCGAAACCACACTCTTTTTAAAGAAAAAGTTTATTGAATACGTCTGCTCACAATGGAAAGCGACACGAGGAAGCGTTACTTCCTCATCTACCCGAGGAAGCGTCATTTCCTCTTGTAAGGAAGGCGAGAGGAGTCAGGTGGTGCATTCAAGTGCGCTCAGTTTGTTCGAGAAGCGAAATTTGTTCGTCATCCGAGGCATAAAAAACTCAAAACTTTTGGTCGAAAACCAAATTGGTCGAGAACCGAGACGTTTGAAAACCGAGGTTTGACTGTAATTTAAATCTGGCGTCTTGAAGTGTTGGTAGAGTCAACACACTTGACTCCGGATTGGAAGCAGTGTCTGACTCCACGCTTCAGGTGTTCATGTAAGTGTATGACGTGTGTGCAAGATTGAAGCATAACCCTCCAGTGCAAGATAGAGCATTTTCATCATCGGGACGACCCAGACACTCGCCTCTCCTCGGACAACTTCACTGTCACTTTATGGAAAGGGGCTAGCACAAGTAGTGTTCCTCTTCTGATGTTATGCTCTTGAGCTGTAAATCGAATCCATTCTGGCCAGGAATACCCACACTGGTTCCCTCTCATTATGTTGCCTTGACAGGATTTCTTATGTGCTATTCCACTGGGTTGACACCTTATTGATAAGTTGATCATCCCATTTGTTGCTGGACTTGAGCAAGCTTTTCCTTGGCTATAGTGTTTGGCCTGAAGTATGTGACAATGTGCCTCCCTTTGTCTCTGATTGATGTATGTGTGGGGTCTGATCACATGATTTTCTAACAAAGAGACTACTTAAGACTATGTGCAATTCAAATGGAGTGCCGAATTTGGAGCTGTCCAGTAGATGCAATCATGTTTGGTGCTGCATCGGTCACAAGACACTTTATTCAGTTTATTGATTATGGCCTATTCCTCCAACATGCCCCTTTTAACTTGGAACAAATTGTCTGCAGTGTGACTCTGGGAAAGGTATTGTACTCCCAACACAGATGTACACAATTGCAAATTCTCATAAATGTAGTGGCCTGTCAGAACCAAGTACAGTATGTAAGTCTCCATGTTCACAGATGTCCACATGCCAGCTGTTATACTCTGCCACAGCTTGCTGAACTTCTATTTTCACTCATTCCCGTTCCTCCTCGTACTTTTTGGCCTTTTGTGTGATGATCTGAAAATTAGACCATGTCAAACTATTAGTAAAGCAATATATTTAAATTTGAGATTAAATAGATTGGAAATAATTACTACTTTTGATCATTTTTGCATAAGCCTTCCTGGTTGGCAAAACATATCAGGTCTCAAAGACCATCATTAGCGACTAGAGTTGTGAGCAAGGCTGAAATAATCCGACAGACAGATGTCAGCGTGGCAGAGCTTTTAAAGGCAGCAGGATAACGAGGATGATTACAGGCGGGTGCGGCTCATGAGGAAATGCCAATCTACGGCGAGAGACTGGAAAAACAAAGCAAACAGGACAGACTCATACCTTGGTTCTTGTGCCCTCAACACAGTATTGTGTGTGTGTGTGTGTGTGTGTGTGTGTGTGTGTGTGTGTGTGTGTGTGTGTGTGTGGGAGGGGGTGGAGCTGGGTTGAAATTCTGTGTGCATACAAACAAACAACAATCAAAACAATACATCTCACCAATGGGTAGGAGGATTATTTGTAATCTTCGTTATGTCTTTAGTTTCAGTGTTCTTATTTGTGTAGGTTGTAGGTGGGAAGCTGACAGAGACTGGAAGACTTGGGGCCTTCATTACAAAAGTAAAAAAAGGAAGCCTGGCAGATGTCGTGGGACATCTAAGAGCAGGTGAGCAGGTTTACTGTAATCCCTTGGCTATTTGCAAATTCATCTATAATAGTATAGTTTAAAAAAGTAGAGTATATGTATGTAAAAAAGTATAGTATATGTATGTAATAAACAATAGTAGGCTCAAAGTAGTTTTTACTTTCTATTATATCATTTTAACATTTTATTTTTTTGTACGGCTGTAACATTATTGAATTAGTCAACATTCCTGAAATTTACACTTCTAACAACTGTTATGGCAAAATCAATTTTTTCGGGTTCCTGTTCCTGCAAACTTTGTTTCAGGTGATGAAGTGTTGCAGTGGAATGGGAAGTCATTGCCAGGAGCAACCAAGAAAGAGGTTTACAACATCATTCTTGAATCAAAAGCCGAGCCTCAAGTGGAACTAGTTGTTTCAAGACCGATAGGGTAAGATTGGCTTCATTAATGTGTTATAATAATTATTCCAGATGAAAACAAATTTCTTACAGATACTTTTGATTTCTCCTTCCTTTATCTAAAAGCTCTATTCACCGAATTATGTCCAAAAACCTCTTGAGAAAAATATATAAAGCATATCAGTAAGTAGTGTTGAATTTAATTAGTAGACCCTGTCCCTCACAACTGACCTCAAATCCTTCAAATAACAGAGTTTCCTTTGTCATTGTTTTCCTGCTTTTCTCCACCATGTTTAACATACATACCGTACGGAAATACATGCCACATACATATTGTACATTCTTTTAATATTATCCTTTTTTTTTTCTTTTATAACTGTTGCTTGGCATTAATTTGGTACTTGGTCTTTGAAAGATGACGCATGTTGGGGAATATTTACTTTTTACAGAGATATTCCGAGAATCCCAGAGTCATCGCATCCTCCTCTCGAATCTAGTAAGTATTCAAAAGTGGTAGTTATTTTTTTAAATAGTCAAATTAGATGCTGAATCATTAGTCTAGGGCGGCTCGGTGCTCGAGTGGTTAGCTCGTCGACCTCACTGTGCAGAGGTCGTGGGTTCGATCCCGGCTCCGGCATTCCTGTGTGGAGTTTGCATGTTCTCCCCGTACCTGCGTGGGTTTTCTCCAGGTACTCCGGTTTCCTCCCACATTCCAAAAACATACACGACAAGCTGATTGAACATTCAACATTGTCCCTAGGTGTGAGTGTGAGTGCGTATGGTTGTTCGTCTCTGTGTTTCCTGTGATTGGCTGGCGACCAGTTCAGGGTGTCCCCCGCCTACTGCCCGATGACAGCTGGGATCGGCTCCAGAACCCCCCGCGACTCTTGTGAGGATAAGCGGATCGGAAAAAGGATTGATGGATGCATGGATGGATTCGTCTATTTTATTGAGACTCTGAACACATTTTTGAATTTTTTGGAAAATCTTTCTAATCTTGGAGTGCCTGTTGTTTCCATTTTTTGTTTTACATCACCTGGTGTTGTACTCACCATCCTTTAGCAGGTTCGAGTTCCTTTGAGTCACAGAAAATGGAGCGTCCAACTATATCAGTGATGTCCCCAACAAGCCCAGGAGCCCTCAGAGAACTTCCTCTGGTGCTGCCTGGACAACTGTCAGTAAGTACCGACATCAGGGACATAAACCAACTGATACATCATTTAAATGGCTCCAATATATGTAGATAGAGAGGGGTTAAATGCCTCCAAATAACATTTCAGGTGAAACTGTGGTATGACAAAGTAGGCCATCAGCTCATCGTCAACGTCCTTCAAGCCATAGACCTGCCATCCCGACCGGATGGACGACCTCGGAACCCATATGTCAAGATGTATTTCCTGCCTGACAGAAGGTAAGGACTGTACAGACGCAATTTCATATAAGGCAGCGGTCCCCAACCTTTTTTTTAAGCAGTATCGAAAATGGATGGATGGAAGTGTCTTATCAACTTTTTCTAACTGTGTTCTTGGCTTTTTCTTCTGCTGCTGTCTTTTTTTTGCAGCAGTCCTTTGTTCCATTTGAAAACGCACTCAAGCTTTCCAGCTAAATATGTTTAGCCTACATTCTCTCCTTCAAATTAAATTGTACCATCATTGATAAACATGTCAGGAATGCTGGTACAAGCTCCAGCTAAATGCGAGTCCAAGTTTGACAAAAAAAAAAGAAACAACACCAATGTTTGTGCAACAAAAACTTATTCTGTCATATTATGTGTGCCCCATGATAAAATGAATACTTGTGTTCCAGTGACAAGAGTAAACGTCGGACGAAAACAGTGAAAAAGAGCGCTGAGCCCAAGTGGAATCAGACCTTCATATATTCACATGTTCACCGGCGAGACTTTCGCGAACACATGCTAGAGATCACCGTCTGGGACCAACCCAGGGTCCAGGAAGAGGAAAGTGAATTCATTGGTGAGGTAGGTTGGAGGCCCGCTAACCAAGTCCTTTTCAACTGGTTTACTCCTGACTGAGCTCTTTCATGGACACAGCTAGCCCATGTAGTGTATTATATGTACAATAGCACTTGGAGGGAATATAGTGTCTTCACTTGTTCTGTGTTCCTTCTCTTAGATCCTGATAGAGTTGGAGACCGCCTTGTTGGATGACATCCCTCACTGGTATAAACTCCAGACACATGACGTGTCCTCGATACCTTTGCCTCAGCCATCCCCATACCTTCCACGCAGACACGCCCATGGAGACAGCCCCAGCAAGAAACTCCAAAGTATGTATTTTCACAGCATTCTGTCAGCTTGAGAACTAACAGTATGCTTGAGTGTGTGTGTGCGTGTGTGTGTGTGTGTGTGTGTGTGTGTGTGTGTGTGTGTGTGTGTGTGTGTGTGTGTGTGTGTGTGTGTGTGTGTGTAGGAGAGGGGGCGGGGGGTTAGGGATTCTTACATGACACTGATGACTTGTTCCTTGGTGCCCAAGATGCAGACCCTCACAATCTGATCATCGTTTGTATGTGTGTGTGTGAGTGCAGGGTCTCATCGCATCATTGATACAGAATTTGATGATGGGTTGATGATAGTGACTAAAGGTGGGTAGGGGGCATGGTTACTACATGTTGCCTTCTAGCAGCCGATGGGCACCCAGCACTGGGTGAGAGAACAAATTATTGCCCCTTAACGCTCTGAAATCCAACAATTTGCACCCAAACCTTGAATTACATGAAGATATCAATGTGTTTCTATTGCACTGGTGGTACATGTTATTTTGGCTGTACTTAAGTGGTGCATTCTACTGGATATCAGGGGCTACAGTAAAAAGTTCTCCTCCACTGCTGACTGTAGGATCCCTTGTCACATTGAGTGCACGTGGAACTGTAGCTAACGTTCACCGCCAGTATACTGTCATTGATCTGCATGCATATCTCAGAGATGAAAGTCCTCCGGATTTTCCCGGAATTCCGGATTTTTCAAATTTTTATGAAAATCTCTCCGGAGAATTGAGGAAAATTTGCCTAAAATTAATCCGGATATTAGTTGACAACATTAAACGAAGACGCGTTTGAGTTCGTTGTTTTTCTTTCACGAGCGTAGCCATGTTGAGACACTAACACTAGTAACGGTAAAGAGATTTTTGTTTGTGTAATAACGACAGAAGACATGATGGCGTTTTACTAATGGTTTAGTAGAACGAGATTTTAGTCTCTCTATAAACACACTTGCTAAACCCCATTGGAACGAATAAAAGACACCGTGGACAAGACAGTTGTTGTAAAAAATATATTTGGACAAAAAGGGAAACACAGATTTGCAGAAAAACGTGTCCGTCCGACTTTGAGTGTCGTCTCGGCTGGCTTAGCTTAGCTGTTGTCGTGTGTGACGTCGGGTGTGTGTTGTCGTTGCGTTGGCGCTGATTGGTTGAAATCAAAAGACGCGCTTGCGTACATGTTCGCGCTGACGCACGTACAGCAGGGAGCAGCGGACTATCTACTGCTGAGGCTCGCTGAGCTTGAGTGGCGTCGCCACAACAGTAATACCCTCGCCTTGTATTCTCATGGCCTCGCCATTTCTCTGAGATTTTGAAATTTCGTCGAGAACGGAAGCCACAAAGGGTGCACGTGTGCACACAAAAGGAAGATTAATCATTGAATGTCGAGTATTTGAATAGCGTTTTGTGTAAACTAA